AATACTTCTGTGAACATATTTCATATATCTGGTGATGGTGTGTGGACCATAAAAGCTTGGGGGTGATGTCACTCATCTTCACCAAACATGACAGTATTCCATGTCTGGTTTTGGGGTTAACAAAGCATCATCTGCGGTTACTTCTGTTGTCACTTGAATAAATCAACAATATCTTTGAAACTTATTAGGGATTAAAGAATGTCTTACGTGGGATACTTCGAAGAGTATTCTTTAATTGATATAATAGTTGTATGTATCGGTTATTTTATTGCTTGTTTACTGAATATATTTTATTGTAATATATTTTATTGTTTGTTTACAGAATATTTGTTGACTCGATGATGGAGTCTGATGAGGGAAAAACAAAATTCAGTAGCAAAAATAACTTATGTCGATAAAAAAAGCAAATATGAATATTTTAATTCCTGTTACTTTTTTTTGAATTTTTTGCAAAAAAAAAAATCGGATTCGGATCCGGATATTCGAATATCCTATTTTTTCAGATCGGATACGGATCATTACTTTAGGTATCCAAAATTTTTGGATATCCGAAAATTCGGATCGGATAATATCCGATATCCGATAATGCACACCCCTAGTATTAATGTTATAGTTATTCCATGCATAATTCATCATGCTTTAATATGAACTTATATGAATGAATGCAATTATATGAGGATCCATTCAGGTATGAAAAATAATGGAAATGATCATGTGTATTTATATGAAGTGAATTGTGTATTATGTGAAAAGCGATAGAAGAGATATGAAAATGAGAATTGTATTTATAATTAAGCCCATTTTATTTAATGTGAGAGTTGTAGGTATAATTGGCATGCCAAAAGTCGAGGGATTATCATTGACTTTTTAAAATAATATTCTTAACAAAATACAGATCATTTGGACTTATATTAAGAAAATATGATAATATATTAAGAAAATATGATAATATATTGTTGAATTGTGTTCGTTATAACCAATTTAAGAAAATATATGTTACCGATGCACAAGTAGTGCATCAATGCACACATTAAGGGATGCATCGATACACTGTAGAGTGCATCGATACATACCTTCATTAAGAGATGAAATTAGCCTTTCTTTAGTCTAAGAAGTGATAGTTTAGAATATATCAATTAGTATATTGATATGTATTAATGTATTACTATGTAGATTAATAATCTTGTTCCGGAACAATCGACGGATTAGGATCGAGTCAAATCAAGCAGGCTAAGGTGAGTGCATGTCCTAGATGGGAATTGTATTGAAATAAGACTTGCGATGAGTCTATCTCTTATAGTTGAACTTATAATTTCATATTCATGAACATGCATACTTATATCGTATTAATTAGGGGTGTGCAAAAAAATCCGATCTGATCCGTTGATCCGATCCGAAAATTCAGATATCCGATCATTTTTCAATTTTCGGATAATTCGGATCGGTATCCGAAATTTTTTTTTCGGATTATCGGATCGGATACGGATCGGTAAAAAACCATTTTCGATTATCCGAAAACCCGAAAAAAATTAGGGATATTTTTTTATATCCATTAAACATGCTCGTTCTGGTTTCAACATACTGGTTTACTCGATCTGGTTTTCACTATGCGTGCAGAGAGGTGGAGAAAGCTTAGACAGCTCTATCATCGTGCTACATCTTCATTACAGAGAATTAGTCAGAACGCACAGGTATATACTGTCATTTTTTAACAATCCGTCCAAGTTTTACCCGACAGGACATGTTTCTGGTTCGAATATCTGAATTGTTGCATGTTTCCCGATATGTTAGGAAAGCGAGTCGTCGTGGTGACTCATGGAGGTGTCATAAGGGCACTATATAGGCGGGCTGCTCGACAAGTTCCGGGAAGTATACTAAATACTTCTGTGAACATATTTTCATATATCTGGTGATGGTGTGTGGACCATAAAAGCTTGGGGTGATGTCACTCATCTTCACCAAACATGACAGTATTCCATGTCTGGTTTTGGGGTTAACAAAGCATCATCTGCGGTTACTTCTGTTGTCACTTGAATAAATCAACAATATCTTTGAAACTTATTAGGGATTAAAGAATGTCTTACGTGGGATACTTCGAAGAGTATTCTTTAATTGATATAATAGTTGTATGTATCGGTTATTTTATTGCTTGTTTACTGAATATATTTTATTGTAATATTTTATTGTTTGTTACAGAATATTTGTTGACTCAATGATGGAGTCTGATGAGGGAAAAACAAAATTCAGTAGAAAAAATAACTTTTGTCGATAAAAAAAGCAAATATGAATATTTTAATTCCTGTTACTTTTTTTTTGAATTTTTTTGCAAAAAAAAAAATCGGATTCAGATCCGGATATTCGAATATCCTATTTTTTCAGATCGGATACGGATCATTCCTTTAGGTATCCAAAATTTTCGGATATCCGAAAATTCGGATCGGATAATATCCGATATCCGATAATGCACACCCCTAGTATTAATGTTATAGTTATTCCATGCATAATTCATCAATGCTTTAATATGAACTTATATGAATGAATGCAATTATATGAGGATCCATTCAGGTATGAAAAATAATGGAAATGATCATGTGTATTTATATGAAGTGAATTGTGTATTATGTGAAAAGCGATAGAAGAGATATGAAAATGAGAATTGTATTTATAATTAAGCCCATTTTATTTAATGTGAGAGTTGTAGGTATAATTGGCATGCCAAAAGTCGAGGGATTATCAGTGGTCCTTCGGGACTGTAACACCCAACCCATACCCGACCCGGATACGAGTCTGACAATACTTCATGTTTCATTCCCTTTCATATTCTTAACTCAAACATACATACTTAAACCAATTTATATTCATTTATCTCATCTTAAACCTCAAAATCTCATCTTTCAAATGAAATCAATAATCATACCCAATTTTCAATATACTCCAAATTCAATTCTATCACTTCATATCTCTTAATTAAGTTGATGACAAGTCAAAAATTTCATCAAAACTCTAAAAACCACACCATATCAAAAATACATCTTAAAACCCATTTTACAAATCACTTCCTAATTCACTCATCTTATTGTTTAAATCCTATATAAGCTTTCCTTAAGCTTATATAACACCCAAAGAATCAAAATCCACTTAGAAATCCAAGAATTAAACAAAAAAATTAAACTCACCTTTGGAGCTTCATTTGTTCACGGTGGAGAAGAAGAAAGGAAGAAGAAGAAGATAATTCTTCCCCCCACGTGATTCATTCATATAAGGGAAAAATATACTTCTTATCAAATGACCATTTTACCCTTTAACTCATTGGATAATTACTAACAACTTTCCAAAAATATTCCCAAATAAATCATTGAACTATTCAACTATTCTACTTTAATCACCAAATTCTAAAATTTTACAATTTAGTCACTAACCCGGTATTGAGGATGTTACAGGGACATAGTGGTCCTTGGGGACATAGTGGTCCTTGAGGACATAGTTGTCATTCGGGACAAATATTCATTGCCCCTAGTGGGATTTTATTCGAGCTGTGGTGACAGCATTGTGCACAACCTCAATGTACTCACGTACCTCTTGTTCTCAATAATGTACATGGGAATCCAAAGATAAACTAAAGGAAATTCTTATGAGACATAATTGTTCATTCATGCATATCATCCTTATATGTCATAGTGTGATATCTATATGTGCATTGCAATGTCCTAGTGGATTGATAGTAGTGTGTATTCATGATATTATTGTTATATGTTTATTTTATGCCTCACTAAGTCTATGACTTTGCGTGTAAGTGATTTACACGTAGGTACCAAGAATCTAGAAGAGCAGAAATAGGGGTGGCAAGAACAACATCATTGCTAAAAGATCAGATCAGAAGTAACTGATAAAGTATGTATTTTGATTGTGTATAGTGTGTTGGCATGTAAGAAAAGTGTTAGTTACGAATGTTCTGATCAGTTTTGTCTTGTTTTGGTTAACTTATGTAAAGTAACAATGTTATTTTAATGAAAGTTTTAAATTTCCTTGATTTTCGTCAAAAATCAAAGTTTGAAAAGCCAATGTGACACCTCAGACTCGTATCCGGGTCGGGTACGGGTTGGGGTATTACAATATACCTTTGAATCAGTCAATGTCATATTATAGAAAGGTTAATATTAAATTCATTACCAATGTGACAATATAAATTTAAAGTAGCAACATAATTCAGCAAACGGTCTCAGTGGTTAAAAGGAGTGTTATTCTCCCCTGAAGTCTTAGGCTCGAGCAACTACGTATATAGAGTGTTTGTGTGTTGTCAATGGTTATGAAAGATTATGAACGTATATTACTCTTATAATCACCTCAAACTATTAAAAAAACTCCATATTTTAATAAACAATATTTAAAATTGACATTTTAATGAATAATGTTTAAAAATTGATGATTCAATAAATAAAAATTGTAAATTAAATATGTTAATTTAAAAATTAATATTTTAATGTAACTATTATCTATTTATTTTTCTATTAAATTTAATAATAATCAAAATTTCATTTTTATTTGTTCGGGTAAATTATGTGCTTAATACTTAAACTATCAGTTTTGAACCATTTAGTACCTAAACTTTCAATATTTCAAAATCATACCTAAAGTTTAGGTACTCATCAAAATGTAACGTTAAGTTTTGAAAGTAATTGAAAGTTTAGGTATTAAAATAGACCAAAAATGATAGCTTAAGTATTAAATGTGTTAAGTTTTTAAAGATGTATTAAAATAAAACAAAAATTAAATATTAGATATGATTTTAAAAAAACTAAAATTTTATATACTAAAACAGATAATGATAGCGTGCTAAATGCGTAGTTACCTTTAAAACAGAAAAATCCATCCCAATTTCAAGCCTTATTTAAGACCCTTCCTTCCCGAGCTCAGAGATTCATAGTGCGCTCTAACTGAAATCAACTACAGCAACTAACCCTTCTCTCTTTTAAACTAAACCCCCCATCCCCCCCCCCCCATTTTTACAAACAAAGATGATAACTTGCTTGGGCCGAATCGTACACGACAGCGACGCCGAATCGAAGCTCGACGACGACGCTTCCACCGTATTCAGATCCCTCAACTTGCAAGGCACCATTGAGAACGGCGACTTCTCCAGCATAGCAAGTAAAGATTTCGGCCGTCTGAATTCGGTCAAGCCCTTGTTTTTAATCAAACCTTCGGGAGTAGAGGACATAGCTCGGGTTGTTAAAGCCGCGGCCAGGACTCCCCATCTGACGGTGGCGGCGAGGGGTAACGGCCACTCCATCAACGGTCAGGCTATGTCTGATGGTGGGTACGTTCTGGACATGCGTTCCACCGCGGACAACCATTTCAAACTGATGACCGTCAATGGCTCCCCTTGCATCGACGTCTCCGGCGGGGCATTATGGGAAGACGTCTTGACACGGTGCGTTTCGAGGTACGGTTTGGCTCCGAGGTCGTGGACGGATTACCTGAGCTTGACCGTGGGTGGCACTTTGTCTAACGCCGGCGTTAGTGGACAAGCGTTCCGTTATGGTCCCCAGACGTCGAACGTTACGGAATTAGAAGTCGTAACGGGGAAAGGAGAAATAAAGGTCTGCTCCGAAACCCAAAACCCGGAACTCTTTTTCGGATCCCTCGGCGGACTCGGTCAGTTCGGTATTATTACCCGAGCAAGGGTAAAGCTTCAGCAAGCTCCAGACATGGTGAGTATTTTTGGTCAAATTCTAATTTTGGCCCCTTTACTATTTTCAAATCTAAGATTTAATCCTCTTACATTAATTTGAGATTTATTACGATTAAAATGCTGACATCAGAATTTTAACAAGAATGAATAGCCGTGACTATTTAAAATAACTATGGACGTATGAAATATAGACCTCTAAGGATTAAATTGCAAGTTTGAACATAGCAGAAGGATCTAAATCAAATTTTAACCTATAACTTTACTATATTTTAACCAAAAGAACTTATTTTTTAGTGCATGATTGGAACGTTAACGTCAATAATTTCGGTCATTTTAAGGTTTTTTTTTTTTGTGATTAGGTGAGATGGATAAGAGTCGTGTACTCCGAGTTTGAGGAATTCACTCGGGACGCCGAGTTTCTGGTGAGTCGGAAAGAAGGCGGGTCGTTTGATTACGTCGAAGGGTTCGTATTCTGCAACAGCGATGATCCAGTGAATGGCTGGCCGTCCGTACAGCTAAACCCGGTCCAAGAGTTCAACCCGAGTCGCCTCCCTCAAACCGCCGGTTCAGTCCTCTACTGCCTTGAAGTGGCATACCATTACCGGAACAGTGACCACTCTTCAACCGTAGATACGGTAATTTCTCCACTTCTTTTGCTCAATAGCTAATAATCACCTGCATCATGAAACAACGTTAACAAAATAGAACCTTGATCGGTTGCCGTCGATGAATGATTAAAAAAGAAGTTGACTTAGTGACTGAGTTTTGACCTTCGTTGTAGCTCGGTGGGTCCCCTATATATCGGTTGACCAAAAAAAGTCGCCGGACAATAAAAAAAGTCAAAAGTAAACTCAGAGGTTGCTACCACGTGTACAACCATCAGCGACGGAGAACAGACGCTTATTCTCGTCCTTCATTATAACAAGAATAAACTAATTCCTTTGAAAAACTCTAGTGTTGCACATTTTTAAGGTTCAATTCTACGTTTCATCCTTTTTCTCGGTGAAAATTAAACAATTAGTCCTTTTACATTAATTTGTCAAAATATAATCTTAATAAATTATAAATATTAAAAATAATAATTGAATTATTAGTATACACGTGAATGTAAACTGTTATCTTTTTGCAATTTATTATATGATAAAATATATTTTCAATTTTCAATTTGTTTTAGTAAGTAATAATTCTGAATTATTACATGTTTTATGGATGAAACTGACTATACAGTATAATGTATCTTTCATTGGATTTTCTGACACAAAAACGAAAGCTTTTGAAAGTGCCCATTCTATTGATATTTAATTACGAGAATGGCGTTTTGCTATTGCTGTCACTTTCGTGATATCAGGAATTTGTCAGGGCTAAAATAGTAACGTTACCTTTAGCTGGAGTGATCATTGAGATTTTGGCTGACCTTTGGTCCCCCGGTTCCACAAAATAACAAAAACAACCCCATCACCTTCTGGAATTTGCAAATTCACGAATGGCATCAATTTATTTTTATTTCACCAAATGACGTAGTTGCCCTTGACTCCCTTGCAGGCCGTAAGCAGACTTTTTGGACGGCTACGATTCGTGGAGCGGTTGATGTCAACGGTGGACGTTAGCTACATGGAGTTCTTGTTGCGTGTGAAACGAGCGGAGGAACACGCTAAAGCCAATGGTGTTTGGGACATTCCTCACCCTTGGTTGAACCTGTTCGTGTCCAAAAAGGACATCGCTGATTTCGATCGGACGGTGTTTAAGAATATGGTGAAAGATGGAATCGGTGGGCCCATTTTGATCTACCCTCTTCTGCGAAGCAAGTGAGTGTCGCCCCTTCCATTATTTATTATTGTGGACCCCTTTTTTCTTATTCATGTCAAAAACCGCGTGTCTGTCACGTGAGGGATGACGAGGTTTCATCAGAATCCAAAACGTGTCATACCGTGGGACCCTTAGGACCCTCTTCCAGTTTTGTATTTTTACGTATTGGTGAAATTTTTTGTTTAGGGTCCCTCCGTATATGCTCAAATTTAGGATTTAGCATGATTACTTCAATATTGATATAAGTTTTTTTAAAATATATATTTTTCCAACTTATCATGCTGAAAGGGAATTCGACCCATTATAAAAGTATAAAGATTAAATTTCAAATGTCAGGATAGTATATGGACTAAAACTGAAATTTGACCTATTATCTAAATCACATACCGAAGGTTGTAGAACCATCGTACTCTGAGCTAAACCGTAGTGGATCATAACCGTATTTTGATCGAGGATTTGTGTTTACAGTTTACGTCATGTTAGGTGTTTGGTTAACGTAAAAGTAAACGTAGAAAAGACAAAGATATTTGGTGGGTCCTTGTCAGAAAATAATAAATATATTTTTACTGTGAATTTTTTTGTGATGAAATATGACAAAATTATAATGTTGGGGACATTTTGGTCATCGCGATAACTCTTTTTATGGAAAGTGAGATTTTGCCAAGTGGGGTAAACTCTCAATATATGGATGGGCTCATCAGTCTCCGACTTTTAAGAAACAGACAACATAAATTTTATTCGCCAACCAAAGCAAGAATGACACCATTATTTGTCTTGGTTCCAAACACTTGTCACTTTTTCGATGACGAAACTACCCTTTTAAACTTGAACATATGAATGATAATAAATTTGATATCATTTAAATATGTTATTCACTTGGTTTTATTCATGTTTTTTTTTCTTCTTCAGATGGGATAGTCGAACATCGGTGGCATTGCCGGAAAGCGAGATCTTTTACATTGTGGGATTGCTCCGATTTGTCCCGAAGGGCCCGTTAGTCGACGAAAAAGTCGGGGAAAATCGAGAGATTGTTAATTGGTGCATCAGTGAGGGTTTGGATTTCAAGCTATACCTCCCTCACTACCGTTCAAAGGAGGATTGGAAACGACATTTTGGGATTCAATGGACAAGATTTGCCAAGAGAAAGGCCAGTTTTGATCCTAAGGCCATCCTTGCACCTGGACAGAGAATTTTTAAAAGGGGTACTACTACCCGACAATAACAGTAGGCAATTGTAATTTCTGCTAATTTCTCAAATATATATAAAATTTTATCCTTTTTAATGTAAAGGTAAAAATATGCCTCCGGTCCTTGTGCTTTAGCGAAATTTCAAAATTTGTCCTTGTATTTAAAAAGTTAGAAATCAAATCATCCCACTGTTTCAATATAAGAATTACAGTTAAAATGTTGAGATACTATTCTACAAGGATTGAATCTCAAATTTTTTCAAAGTACAGGGATTGATAGCAGAATTTATTTGACTAACAAGGTCCAGAGATTGAAAGCATGGCCTTGAATGAGTGTAGACACTAAGCTCTGATTTGCTTCTAGACTCTATATCTGTTTCGTGTCTTTGTCGTTGTGCCTTTCGGCCAACCATTATGGACCGTTCAATTAATGTCATATTCGAAGATGATAATCTTAAGTGGGGTTGATGTTTAAGTTGGATGTAATTTGACTTCAACTTGCATTTAAAAAAAATGGTCAAATCCTTTTCAAAAACATACAAGGAAAGCAGTGTGTGGAACTCTAAAAGATGTGGGGAAAAAATAAGATTCTCTTTTTGAAACAAAAGATGAAACTCTCTCATCAATACAAGTTTAGCTTTTCTTTCTTTCTTTTCGATGCTTGATAATTATAGTATTCCGAATAAGTTTAGAGTTAAGTTAAATCCAAACCCTATTCTAGAGACATGCTCTCCCAATATAGGCACATCTAGGGGCAGGACCTTGGCATGGCGCCGAAAATATGGCAAAATTCCTTCAAGGGCGCCTTTAAAATTTTGGGAAACTATAAATTAGTATATGACGGTAAAATTGCATTTTGACCCCTCAAATATTATAAATCATTTTTTCCATTTTAAAGTGTTTTATGACTTTACCTGTGTATCTCGGTGCCGATTTTTGCTTAAAAGATATACGACTCGTTAGACTTATTTAGGGAAATGATAAGAAACAAATTAGAGAAATTAGGATATTGAAAAATTATTTAAGGGATTAGGCCGAAAGAAATAGTAATTAGTAAAGTTGTCTCCAATTGCTGACGTCTTTGTCAAAGTTATCCTACGAAGAGACTTCAAAAAATAGAAGATTAAAGCGGACCGTGACTATCGTCAATTTTATCGATTTCGTGTGCATTTTTCAACATCCTTATTGATGTTGTGCTCAATTATCGATGAATTTAGCCAAATTCATGTTCATGGGAGCCGATAAGAACTAAATTGAAAGAAAATAAAATTTAAAAGGTCGAAACAGGATTCTTAATTTCTCCCAACAAAGGGCAATTTTAACAAAATCATTCCTTATTTCTATTTTTTTATTTTCTTATTACATCCCTAAATAAGCGAACTCCATGCCATTAGTCTTTATTTCTTTTCCTTAACCATTAGGTTTTCTACTTTGAATTTCTTGTTTCAACCTCTGGGATTGTTTTGAAAGTGCATGCAAATCAAATCTACTTTGTTTTTCTTTCTCCACTTTCATCTTTACCTTTCCTTTTCTATATTTTATTATTTATTTATTTTTCATTATAAAAAGCAGAGAAATTAAAGCTTAAATTGGAAGGGGACTCCGAGCAGCTTTTAGAGTTCAATTAAAAGATGATGATTTCTTGTATGATGTACCGGCCAATAAGTGAAGGCGTCCTCGTTTAATTCCATGCAGAGCATCCTATACGTTCCTTGGGAGTCGTGTCATGCATGGACCTTTCTACCCACTTTTCCTTTGGATTGATTATTACTTTTTAATATTTTATTCATAATTATTAATACATCAACACTGATTCTTTTTTACAAGAACAACAATAAGATTATAAGCTAGTGTTTTTATGATAAATTTAAAATTAAAAATAAATAAAAATTGATAATGATATATGTTTAAAATTTTGGTTTCCTTAAAAATTTAAGATAGCATCCATCACAATGTTCAATGAAAAAATTTAGTCAACCATGTTCGATAAACAATAAAGTTACTTGTAAATCAAATGTTTAATGTTATTTTTTAATAATCCATGTTGTGATTTTAACACAACAATTAATGTTATTATGATTTTGAACCTACTAATAACATTATAAATCTGAAAGATTAAATTATATCGAATGAATTTAGTTGAATTTCAGATTTAAATATCTTTTTATAATATAATGAATGGAAGTAGGGTTCCTTTGGACAAGGGGAAGACGTATAAAAGACACATTCATCCACCGACGGATACAGAAATATTTTTGATGATAAGTATATATATATATATATATTAATGACATAACTTTTCATATAGAATAAATATAAATAAAATTTTAGAATAGACACATTTAATAAAATAAATATTTAACATAAAAAAAATCAGATTTCATAATAAACAATTTACACCATCAAATCCATTTGCATCTGGTAGTGCATTCACCCTATTGAAATGGTACATCAATGCACAATGAAGGCGAAAAAAATACCAAAAAGTGAGGTTACGGTTTCTACTTATAGGTGTATACTATATTTGACTTGAAGAAATCAATGAAGATTACATCCAATTGGATATCACTTCCATGAAAACCTAATCTTGCAGATTTTGGTGAAAAATTAACAAACAGTATTCTGTCATGTCAGTATAGTTTTCGAGATGATTTTCTTTCAAACATATAGCATCAATGCTGATACTGTAACGGGACACGTGCATATTGATTTACTTTATAACGAGAAAAAAAACACAACACTAGATTTCTCTCCAAGAGGACAAAAGATTATCTATTCATTTACATACAAAAAAATAAAATTCATTCGAGATTAGGATTCCCTTTGACACAATATTCAAAGGCACTTCCCTTATCTTTTATGAACCTTTTTAGTTGGAAGTATAAGAATCATCTGATAATTAAATTTATTTAAACACAAAATTATATGGAGTAAAGTTTTTTTATCATCAGATTTATTTTATCTTTATTTATATAAGGTAAGATATTAATTTTAAAATTTACAAAATAGAATTAATTTCTTTTATGATTTTTATAATTATTGGCAGGGAGGATCCGAAAGGGGTGGATGAGATTCGGAGTCGGTCATCTCTGTAAAAAAATTAAATTAGTATATATTTTAGTTATTTTTTATATTTTCAATTAATAATTTATTTTCACCGCTTCAAATTTTATAAGTTTATCTCTCCTAAATATATTTAGAAATTTACCCTCTAACATAAGATCTCATGTTTTTCTCCAATTATTGAGGTCTATATTATTTAGATGAGTTTTATAGGACTATTTAGAGTCTTTTTAGATACATTAGGTACTAAAAAAATATAATTAATAGCATTAAAATTACTTGTATTTAAAATCTTTAAGATCTCTATATTTATAATGAATCTAATTCATTGTGTGATCTATTTTATATTAATCTGGTTATATTTGTTAATTTTTAACACATTTAAGTCATAGATTTAAGTATGATAGATTAGAAAAATAATTTTAGATATTTATGCTCTTTTTATTTAGGAGGTCCATCCGGTTCAATATATACATCGTGAATATTTATGTAATTATCAAATACCATGATGTTTAAAGAAAACAAAACTCTTCTAATTAAGGAGTCAAAGGGAATATAAAGTCACTAGGGTTTTGTAGTATTCCCCTTGGATTGATATATATTCTATTAGACTTGTGTATTTTCCCTTCTTTTTACGATTTGAATAACCCAAGATTGATAATATCACGATGATAGTCTGAAAAGGAAAGGCTGGTCAAAAGTTGGAGTCTAGGCAGCAGCAGTAGCCTTTCTGCATAGCTACAAAAGGGTTTGCCATAGATAGTGAACTTTACAGTTGTAGCCATTAATATGATTCTTTTATATATACTATCATGAAATTTTATTTTTTTTAGATTAGTTATTTATTTTGTTAATTGTATTTAATTATATTTTATTTGTATCAACTTCTTATAAAAAATTTTATGATATTAGGATATAAGTACAACTTTCATAAATATTTTTAGATCTGTCACTGTTTTTAAATGATTAAAACTAATAAAGTTTTGACTAAGCATGGTCCACTCTGATTGGTCCCTTCTCTCATTCTACAACTGTCTTCAGTGAGGATGTTGCCAAAATGTGATTGATTTTTTTTTTCTAGAGTAGTAGACCTAAACATAAAAAGTTGTTAGAAAGAAAAGTTATCACTTATCAATGTCGTCCAGGGTGAGACTACAATACGACAGTAATAAGGCGATCCAGCTTAGAGAAAGCTATGCATCCTTATTCTTACCGAATTTTAAAAAAAAATAATGCATATACAAAAAATTATTATTCTTTACTTTAACATAATAAACTAAATTTAACTATTTTTTTAAATAATAAAGATGCACTTCACTCCTATGGAAGCATAATGCATCCACCCTTAGTTGAATCATCGACAGTAAACTAAAGATAAGTCGGAGAAAACAGTTTAACGACATATTTTAATAATAGTATGTTAAAAATTTCAAATTTCATAAATTTAATGTTTAGAACACTCAAAATGTAATTCTTCGTAGGATCCTAAAATTTTAATTATAAGTTTTGATTTAAGTTTTGAAATAAAAGATAGTTGTATAAAGTAAAATCATCACCAATGTATTAATTGAAAAACTTGCTTTTCAGTATGAACTAACTTACCTCATTGGTTAAAGGATTCGTTGTTTTTCCTAGAGGTAATGAATTCGAGTACCACCAGCTATAACATGGCAATTGAGTGTTCATTGTCAAATGATTGAGAGTACTTAAAACAAATATTATTTTGTAATCACATTAACTTAATAAAACAAACTTGTTTTCAATAACTATTGTGTAACAGTTTAAGAGAATTTAATAATTATTTTATTATAATTTTGATAAAATTTAATAATTAAAATAATCATTTAAACGTAATTAAATGATATCCTATGTAATTAAAAATACGATCCGTTATCTACAAATAGTTGCCTCCTACGTGATCTAATAAGAAAATGTTTGAGCCAATTGCTAGGCTTACAATAATAATAATAATAATAATAATAATATAGGGCTTGAGAAAGTGAAAATGGGTTACCAACTGAAAG